GGAAAAGGTGTCAAACAAGGATGTATTATCTCATCAGACTTATTCAGCCTTTACAGTGGAGCAATCTTGAGAAAGAAGTCCTTCCAGGATTCATTATTGGAACAAACTAATATATGCAGATGACACAACGTGGATTGCAGTCACAGAAAGAAAATACACGGATGTAATGGAAAGCAATATGTAAGGACTAGTCATAATTTATGTTTGTCAGCAAGTGGACTAGCCCAACATGTCAAATACAAATTAGTGATGCGAAAATCATAAAGTAATCTTTAATATATGTGAAATGTTTTAACAGGGGACAGAAAACGAGGTACTTCTCATTGGAGGAATGAAAATGCCTTTCAAAAGCGAAGCAAATTATTAAGAAACAGGAACATTTCGACAGGAACAAAAACAGGAGTGCTAAATTGTTATGTAACAACAGTGCTATCATATGATAGTGAATGTTGGTGAAAAAGAAGAGACTTGAGGCAGCAGGAATGCGGTTCTACAGAAGGATGTTGAGAATGCCATAGAGTGAACATATGTATGACGAATTTTTAAAGAAAATGGAAACGAAAGGGAAACTTCTATATCTGTCTATATCTCTGAGATGAGGTCTTAAGTTTATTTTAATTATTCACATTATTCGGACTGTTATCCTCATATTCATTACCATATTTACAACGTTTCGGCCGTTGTACGCTCCGGCCTTTATGTCTATGTCTCTCTATATCTCTGTCTATATCTCTGAGATGAGGTATTATGATTACTTGCATTATTTACATTATTCGGACTATTATCCTCATCTTCATTGCTATATTCACAACGTTTCAGCCGTTGTACGTCCGGCCTTCCTCAAGGACAAATGGCCCAGTAGGTAAAGGCGTTGGTTCGAACCACTGACTAGACCCATGAGTTGTGAGTTCAATACGAGGCTACAGTAGTGGTGAACCAAAAACTTGGAGAGCTGAGTTAAAGGGAAATAAATGAGACATCCGGAAGAGGCATGACACGCGGAACTAGAACAATCTACCCCCGGTGGGTGAAATAATGGGTTGGGTTCGAAATTTCAATCACCTGAAGAAGGCCGGAGCGTACAACGACTGAAACGTTGTAAATATGGCAATGATGGTGGGGAAACTTCTAATTAAAATCAAAATGACTTAGTTGCAATTTATAGGGTTCATATTGAGACAATACGTTTTGGAGAAGCTGACACACGTAGGACATATCGAAGGCAAGTGTAAGAGAAGAATTCAGCGAATAAGCTACCTGATAATGTGTCTTATATGGTTAGTTAGAAAGTGATTAGAATATATAGAGAAAGACAAAAATTACTTAAATCTACAAAGCACAGGTAGGGGACATCTATGATCGCCCATGTTCTGAAAGGACACGGCACAGATGATACAAAAAAAAAGACTAACCTAATTTTATTCCTAATAACTCTGCTCTTCAAATATTTCTACTATAAAAAACAATGGATTTTAACCGAGTTGGCCGTTTTCTTTTGAAAAATATTACATATAAATCCTCTCTCGATTTCCGCCTTTTCCCACAAATTTAGGAGAAGTAGTATCAGGTTTATATATATTTATATCTATCTCTGTATATTTCTGAGATGGAGTATTATTATTTATTTACATTCTTCGGGCTGCTGTCTTCATCTTTATTGCTATATTCACGACATTTAGGGAGAAGTAGTAACAGGTTTATATATATTTATATCTGTATCTGTCTATATTTCTGAAATGAGGTATTGTAATTATTCACACTGTTCCGACTGTTGTTCTCAACTTTACTGCTATATTCACGACGTTTAGGCCGTTGTACTCTCCGGCCTTCTTTAGGATCTGTCGATATTTCTGAGATTAGGTATTGTAATTATTTACATTTAAATTGTTCAAATTGTCTTCATCTTTATTGTCACATTCACGACGTTTCGGCCGTTGTACGCTCCGGCCTACTTTTGAGGTGAGGCGTTGTAATTATTTACATTGTTTGTACTGTTGTCCTCAATTTTATTGCCATATTCACAACGTTTCTACTATAAAAATTTAAAAAAAAAACAATATTATTTATGAATTCTCATGTTCTTTGGAAGATTGCATTTAATAGTTTATACAAATAATAGACAAAAGAACTTTTACATTCTTAGATTGCCCCCAAAAACAGAATACACTCTTGGTTTTCACAACCATACATAGACATACATAAATCTCTTTAGAGTTGGCCGTTTTCTTTTGAAGAATATTACATATAAATCCCACTTGATTTCCGCCTTTCCCCACTGCTTTATGCTATAGGGAGAAGTAGGAACAGGTTTATACATATTTTTATTTATATCTGTCTATATTTCTGTTAAGTTAATCGACTCTCCCAGCTATAAATAAGAGCAGGTATTGCTTTTTACTGAGAATGTAGTTTCCAGCAATCAGCTCTGACAGTCGGACAGAACATTCTTGCTCGTTTGTATATATTTTGTATTATTGTTTTCTGTTTATATATTTGTTAATTCAATTCTTATCATTGTGTGTTTATTTCAAGTCCCAACAAGGCAACAACAATTTCTTAAATGAGGTATTGTAATTATTTAAATTGTTCCGACTGCTGTCCTCATCTTTATTGCTATATTCACGACGTTTAGGTCGTTGTACTCTCCGGCCTTCTTTAGGATCTGTCGATATTTCTGAGATTAGGTATTGTAATTATTTACATTTAAATTGTTCAAACTGTTGTCTTCATCTTTATTGTCATGTTCACGACATTTCGGTCGTTATACGCTCCGGCCTACTTCTGAGATGTATTCTAATTATTTACATTATTTACATTGTTTGGACTGTTGCTCACATCTTTACAACGTTTCGACTATAAAAAACAATGTTATTTATAAATTCTCATGTTCTTTGGAAGATTGCATTTAAGAGTTTATATAAATAATAGACAAAAGAACTATTAGATTCTTAGATTTCCCCTAAAAGCAGAATACACTCTTGGTTTACGCACCCAAACACAGGCATCCATAAATCTTAACAGGGTTGGCCATTTTCTTTTGAAAAAATATTACATGTCATTGCACTCCATTCCCGCCATTTCCCACTGCTTTTTACATCTATATATGCTATAGGGAGAAGTAGGAACAGGTTTATATATATTTATATCTATATCTGTCTATATTTCTGAAATGAGGCATTGTAATTATTTACATTGTTCCAACTGTTGTCCTCCTCTTTATCGCTAGGGACGTTTAGGGAAAAGTAGTAACAGGTTTATACATATATATATATATATATATATATATATATATATATATATACATTGGGTCCACGAAGAATAATTTTAAAGATAGATGGAGGCAGCATAAAGTGCTCCTTTAATAATATAAACAAACGAAATCAGACTTCACTATCAAAATATTTTTGGCACCTGAAGGAAACAAATAAGACACCAAAAGTTAAATGGAAAATTATTGACAAGGCTAGAATATGTAAAGCTTGGGATGACCCATGCCCTTTGTGCCTCCATGAAAAATTGCATATTATTAAACTTCTAAATAATAATAATCTATTAAATAATAGACACGAGTTAACGGTTTTTTGTAGGCATCATCAGATTTTTGGTTTGAATTATTAGATAAAAAAATGTATATAACTTGTTTAACAAATAGCCGAATCATCAGATTCATAGTAGGAATAATTAACTACAAACATGCATACAACATAACACACTTCATAATCCATAGCCTAAATTAGTAGTTTAAATACCTTACATATAAGATAACCCTTTATGAAGTCGTCAAAAAACAAACGTTACGAAAGTTTTTCTTTTTTTATATACACAATTCCCTTTCATAATAAAATAAAATAAAATAAACAAATAAATCTCCATAGACAAGCAAACTAGACGATGGCCAATACATCTTCCGTTTCATTTTTGACACCCCCACTTTTCCCCGACTTGACACCTTGAAAGTATCTCTATACCGCTACTTATTATAAACACCCTACACTCGCCTACCCAATTTAGACAATTCACCATAGCTGTTACCATGGGGATTTTGATTTCAATTTTAAAACAAGTAAATTTCAGATATACGTTATTCAACAAAAAATTTCGCTTGAAGATGGAACGGAGCCCATTTTTACTTTCATCTCAATTTAATTTAAAAGGATTATATTGAAGTTTTCGGCTCTTGTTTTGAAACATGAGACCTCTTATGTAGCGATAATGAAATCATATTTTTAAATAAATAATTATATATATATATATATATATATATATATATATTATTTTCTGAAATGAGGTATTGTAATTATTTACATTTTTTCAACTGTTGAATGTTATTGCCATATTCACGACGTTTCGGTCGTCGTACGCTCCGGCCTTCTTTAGGATCTGTCGATATTTCTGAGATAAAGTATTGTAACTATTTACATTGTTCCAAATGTTGTCCCCGTCTTTATTATCATATTCATACGCTTCAACCGCTGTACAATATAACCGGGTAGACGAAATAAAGGGTTCAGTTCGAAATTTTAATTTGCCAGAAGAAGGCCGCAGCGTACAACGATCGAAACGTCGTGAATATGATAATAAAGATGAGGACAACAGACCGAACAATGTAAAGAATGTAGATATTTCTATATAGTTCATTAACTCAGTTGTCCTGCAAGCCTTGTTTATCAGTCTAACTGGTTACATAATTGATCGACTTAAGTGTATATACTCCGATCTTTTGTGAATATCTAAGCTGACAATACAATGCTGTATGGGTGCATCTCCAAAACTCTTACTGATCATCGCCTAAGAGTAGGAGAAAAACTGGCTGATCACATCCAATACCTTGAAAACCATTAATGAACGGACCCTGACTTTTTTGCCTATCACGATGAAAGGGTGTTATCTCTGGGAAGCCCTGTACGTGAAGCTAGTATTGAGATTTAAGCTCAACCTAGAACCTCAATTAGAACACATTACTGGGAAGCATCATTAAAGATGCTGGAAAAAAATGTCAGTTTCATCTATCTATCGATCTATCTATCTATCTATCTATCGATCTATCTATCTATCTATCTATCTATCTATCTATCTATCTATCTATCTATTTTCAACTCTATCTATCTCTGTTCAAATCTATTTATCTCTGTTCAAATATATATATATATATATATATATATATATATATATATATGTTCAGATTTAGCTATCAATTTACTCTATATCTATCTATCTATCTATCTATCTAACCATCTATCTATTTCAGTGTTCAAATCTATTAATCTATGTTCAAATCATCTATCTATCTATCTATGGTCAAATCTATTTAAATCTCTTCACACACACACACACACACACACACACATATATATATATATATATATATATATATATATATATATATCAGATTTAGCTATCTATCTACTCTCTATATCTATCTTCTATTTCAGTGTTCAAATCTATCTATCTCTGTTCAAATCTATTTATCTCTGTTCAAACACACACACACACACACACACACACACACACACACCGATATATATATATATATATATATATATATATATATATATATATTTGGTTGGATAGCTCTATCTCTGATATTAGGCGCTTTTTTAATAAGTACCCTGCATATAATATATAAATAATTATACATATATATATATTTATTTATATTTATATACACTTTCACACACACACACACGCATATATATATATATATATATATATATATATATATTTATCTCTATTCAGATTTCTCTATCTATCTATATCTATCTATCTATCTATCTATCTATCTATCTATCTATGTTCAAATCTATCTAGCTATCTATATCTGTTCAAATCTATCTATGTAATTATCTCTGTTCAAATATATATATATATATATATATATATATATATATATATATATATCTGTTCAGATTTAGCTATCTATCTACTCTCTATCTATCTATCTATCTATCTATTTATTTCAGTGTTCAAATCTATCTATCTATCTATCTATCTATCTATCTATCTATCTATCTATCTATCCCTGTACAAATCTATCTTTCCCTCTCTGTCTCTCTCGGACAATATTTTTCAATGCTTGTTCACGATTTAAGTCGATATTCATTCTCGGGTATCTGCTTTAGAAATGCTGGTGAGAAACTCCCTAAAAAGGATATTGCAATTTTGATAAACTCATCAGCATCAATCGATTACTCAGAATATTTATTGTCCCTTTGTGTTTCGTGGGAACACTTCTCGATACTTGTTGTTGCTTATGCTTCTTTCCTTCTGAAAAGATTCTCCCATTTAGAATGGAATCCACACGATAAAACTACAGAAATAGAACAAAAAAGTTCTAATCCTGTCTAAGCCGTCTTAATAATATATCAGCTCTCGGAAATGTTCCTTTACTTTTTTTCTTTTTCATTCACTCTTGCCACTTTCCAAAGAAGATAATGCATAGCCAACGATATTTGAAATTAATTATTCAGAGTGTCGGGTGGGGGGACCAGTTAATTTTCGTCTTTTAACTTCAGGATGTTGTCTTATAATTCTTCTTTGCATTCCATCATTAGTACATCGTGCATTATTGAAATATTCTCGTGATTTCCTACTCATATAAAAGTTGAGGACCATAAAACTTCCGAAGAAATCTATGATTTGATATTTAACCAAAAATGTCTATCACAGTCTATCTATCTATCATATATTGTATCCATGAGTTTGGTCATTTCTATCTATCTATTGTTCTATCGTCAGTTTAAATCTCTGCCTCTCTGTCTCTCTGTCTCTTTGTCTGTCTGTCTGTTTGTCTGTCTCTCTCTCTCTATATATATATATATATATACATATATATATATATATATATATATATATATATATATATATATATATATATATATAAGGAGGCTATGTCTCATATCTAATCTCAGCATGTTCATCTATCTATGTATCTATCTATCTATCAGTTTATTCCTTTTTATATTTTGATCGAACGATCTATCGATCTATCTATCTATCTCTATATATACATATATATCACCGTCTGTCAAATTTCAATTATGGAAATAGATTCTATGACTTAATTTGGGACCAGAATACTTTAAAGAAAAAATTGAAATAATAACATTAAACTATAAATCAGTTTTCTTTCTAAATATTTAATTAAGCAGAATGTCAATTTGTATTATTAATAGCATTTTATTAAATAAATGCCCAAACCAATTTCAATTTCAAATCCTTTTTTAAATTGTTTCCCCACTCAATAAATGTTTCGAGAGAGCCCAGTTATTGCAAATACACTCTAACCAAATGTTAAAAATACATTTCACATTAGTATCTTACTTATTATAAAACGCAGATTGTGTGTGTGTGTGTCTGTAACGTTTATATATTGGATCGGATTTCCTACATTTTTCAACCGATTTCAACAAAACTTCACAGGACTACATAAAATTACCTTGTGGTGGTTCTAACAGCGCCAAAAATGGGAAAAATAATTGTTTTTGCACAAAATCAATTTGAAAACACGATTAAGAGACATCGTGAAAATGGAAGGGGACAACTCACATCAGGTTGTTTTGTGTGGGGTTCCTTTAAATATGGGAGCGGATTTCCTATATTTTTCAGCCGATAAAACAAAACTTCACTTATTTTTTTGGCATGTAGTGTTTCTTATTGTCTTGCACACTTTTTTCTTTATTTTTACATTCAGAATGCTTTAAAAATTCCATTTACAAGACAATTGTTTATAAAATTATTCTATTCAATCGGAAGACTCATAACGATTGAAAACAATGTTTTTGTTTGAGTTCGGGTTTGACCAATTCGTAAAAAAAAAAAATAATAATAATAATTAAGACATGCGTGTCCGTCAACCTTAAACAATAATCTTTGTCAATTTTATTTTTCAGTCATTATGATGGTGGATACTTGATCTATCTCTTACTGTTATATCCCTGGGCAACGCCGGGCTCTACTGCTAGTTAATTATAAATCGTATCCCTCTACAAAGTGTCCCTTTTTTTCTATTAAAAATGAACCAATAAACAAAACGTTACTTTCTGGGTATTCACAAAAGAACACAATGGAAAATGGAGTACACCTGCTAAAAAGAAGAAATCTATTAACTATTAAATTTTGACAACTAATCGTTAACGTTTAAGGGAATTATGTCAGTTTTGTTTATCTTCAAACTTTCAAAAATCCATTTTTTTTTTAAGAATAAACTTTTCGATTCAGCGATCTTTTTGTCTACTGCCACACGATATAGGGTTTATCAATTAGTAAATAATAACATTTCAAATATCTCGGTGTTTGGATCACTTATAACAAATTTAGTATTGGAGAAAAAGAAACTGAATATCTGTGCTTGATGTAATTTCGCCCAAATCCCATTCTTATTAAATCTAAATATGTTCAGAAGGTAAAACCATATGCAACATACTTCATAGAAATAATAAAAGAATTGATAGAAAATAGACAGGATAAAAAATTCTAAGAAAAAGAATAAGCATAAATACGAGTGGTAACCGACCCATTAACCTTAATTCGACCAAGGTACTAAATGCTTAAAGTACTTTAATCGTTAGATTATCCGCAGCAAATACACGTCCAGGTTCTTTTCTTTGCAGATCTTCCATCATCAAAATGTCACAATACTTAATAACAAAAGGACAGAGAATGAGAATCCAAATGGCATTGGCTATAAGATATATATATATATATATATATATATATATATATATATATATAAAATGTGAGGTGCAGTTCAATTTATATTACAATAAATCATTCATACAAAAAGTAGATTAGTAAAGTTAATGATATAAAATGGCGAAATCCTTTCGCAAACAAAATTTTAAAGTTGAATTAACCTACGAATCACTCGATGAATGTTATGATCCTTGTTTTTAATAATTATAAGCTGTATAAGGTCATTTTTTATATGCAATTACTTTCAACTGTACATTCAGTCATCCTCAGGTAGCAATCCGAGACGAAAACATTAAATGCGAAAAATCGAAACTGTACCATATATTTGATTTAAAAGAACAAATTCGACGTGCAAATTTTCGGGATAACAACTGAGACATTACTCTATTTATTGAACAATTTAGTTAATGCCACATTGACTGATAAACTCCTACAACAAAACTATTCTCAAATTATCATATTAGTAAAAAAACGCATTCTCTCAAATTTTCAAAAACTTCAACCTTAGCGTTGCGACTGCACGCTCCAAACGTTTTTATCCGTTAACAATAAGACATTTCTAAAAAAAAAATCGCATTTAATTTTTTCGTCTGTGATGCTACCTGGATTTTGCTAAAAACAAAATAGCAGGGAATATGTTGCTGGTTTGAGTGTTGACTGTTTTTCCATTCTGGCGAAGTCACACTCTGCATATCATTTGAAGGATCGTGAGTCCATTTACATCAAGTCCCGCAGGCCGTTTCTCTGTAAGCAGAGAGATTGCTTGTTGGGCTTGAATGTGATTGGGCTCTAGTTCTTTCTATCATATATAATTTTTTTTTCCTTTCCCCCTCATTGAATGTTAATCCCAGTTTATCAAACTTGGGGAGTACTGGGAGGAAACCTGTTGTTTGTTTTAGTTCTTAGTTTTCATAATTATGTCCTTACATTCCGCCTATTCCTTGCCATAATATATATATATATATATATATATATATATATATATATATATATATATATATATATATATATATATGTGTGTGTGTGTGTGTGTGTGTGTGTGTGTGTGTATGTGAAAAGTGTATATAACTATAAATAAATATATATATGTATAATTATTTATATATTATATGCGCGGTACTTATTAAGCGCTCAATATTAGAGATAGAGCTAACATATTTGGTTAGATAGATGTGAGTTTGTGACCCTGGGTTTCACGCTTTGATCGTCAGACAAACTGATTATTTTTTTAAATTTGGGTTTATATAAATTGCGTGCATTGGTGTTATTGTAAGTGGTGGGGAAAATTCGTCGTTTTGTCATTGTACCAACGCAAACATCGATGTATGCAGACACATATACATACTTATTGTCCGTCAGGACTCACACATATAAAACATATGTGGGCAGTTTCGGATATGATATGTATGTATACAGGTATGTGTCCATACATACACATTTGTATATTGAAATTTAAAGATTGGAAGTGTGGCGGAAATGTCACGAGACCATTTCCGCCACACTCCAATCTTTAAATTTCAACATACAAATGTGTGTATGGATACAAACACCACCCGTATAAATAAACATAGAAATTATAATGTAATTAACATACTGTTAATCCATTGAATGATGTGATCCTCATTTATAAAACTGTTGTCAGATGTTTCTTTAGTGTATATTTTTTTAAGTTATGCAAGTACTTTTCGAAGATCCATGCCTTCATCATCAGGCTGTAATTTTTCCTTTAAAGTTAAAACTTGAAGAGGAAATAATTGTTTATAGACCGAAAAGATGTTCTTTTAGAATGTGCTATTTATTGATGGTTGTACAATCTCAGAACGTGCGAGTCGCAACGCTAAAGTTCAAAATTTCAAGTGAGAATTTTTTATATGAATTTTGTCATATAGTAAAATCAACGAATTCTTTTTTTAAGTGTTTTCAGTTAACGTGACATGAGCTAAGTATATAGTTCAATTAATATAGTGATACGTCTTAGTAATTTTTTTCTCAGGAATTTCGTATTGCGGGATCAATTGTTTTTTTTATTATAGACATATATTATATATTATATTTTATTATGTTTCTTCTAGTGAAGTGATTTCACCATTAATCGCATTAATATTGCTGATTGATTCTATGTATGATTATTTCTTTATATATATATATATATATATATATATATATATATATATATATATATATATATATATATATATGCGTGTTTGACTCTCTGTGTACGTGTGTGTGTCTGTGGTTTAGAGAGTGAAATATAGCATTAGACATATATATGAACCAACTTATATATGATCAAACTGAAGCAGATAGCTCGCTAGATAGAGAGAGAAATGCATACAGGCATACATATGAACAGACTTGAGATAGATAGATAGATAGATAGATAGATAGATAGATAGATAGATATGAATACATCGAATTTTAGAAATGG